CCCAACACCACTATGCTCATTCCTTGAGATCTTCTGCTATAGAAAAAGTAAACTGTACCATTGTTATCCAACTGGTCTCCGGATCCTTCCAGAGCACTGGATTGTCTCTATTTTTAAAAAAAAGGTGGAAGCAAACACATGACTGTTGAATTCAGGGGAAATCCAAGGTTTTGAGCTCCGCACAACAAAAGGATTCCTGGTGCAAAGAGATCGAAGCAAAATGCAGGAGGAACTCTGCCCAAGAGACTCCAATTGCCGGAGCCCTTATTCTGGATGATCAAGCTGAACCAGCTAGATTCAGCTCTTCTGCTTGTGGACCCTGAATTTCCCTTTATTCCTGTCTCTGAAGGGGAGTGTCTCTACTGTAGAAAAGGATAATTAAAAGGGGTAGACTTACTCTCAATCCATTTATATCAGAGAGGGAAACTAGTGAGGTGATGGTTTCCTTGAGAGTAAAAAAAAGAAAAGAAAAGAAAAAAACACTAATCCCCTCCCTCCTCCCTTTTCCCACCAAAAGAATGTTTCTCATAGATCGATCTCTCCCCCTGTTTCCTATTTTGACATTTTGTCGACTCTACCATTTCACTTTTTCTCTGTCTGGTTAAACACACACACACACACACACACACACACACACACAAAGCACAGCAGTGTAGTCAGAGCTTCTCAGTGCTCATGCCCAAACTCATGCTAAACGCATTCCTTTCTTGGAACTCAGTTCTGTGACGTGAAAAACCAAATCCAGGCTAAAAGCACATACTTAAAAAAAAAAAAATGCCAGCGCGAATAAAGCCCGAGATTCTGCACTCTGATTGAGCCTTCCTTCCACCCTTCCTTCCTCCCGCCCTTCTTTTCAGTGCCCAATGGTCTGCTACTGGTTACCGGGAGAGAATAGCCTCAGCGGCGGCTGTGACCGCGGCAGCGAAAGTGGAAGCCTGCAGCAGCCCCTCTCCCCGCGCTATTGAGCATGCCAAGCGTCAGTTCTGCATCCTAAAGAAGCCCATTGAAAGGTCCATTGCATTCCAAGCACGTCTCTAGTTTGCTGTCCTTCCCCCCCCCACACACACACCTCTTAGTAAGCCCCTGCTTCCCTTTTGCTTCAGCTTCAGCAAAAGGAGGGAGGGAGGAAAGACAACCTTAAATTCAAGCCCTCTTTCCTTTTTTTTTTTTTCTTTTTTAATGTTCAGTGCTTAAAAAAAAAAAAATTTCTTCAAAATAGGTAAGTCAACGACATACGGAACCTTTCTTCCCTAAAATTGAGTGACCTCAAACACAAGAAAAGCATTTTTAAAACGAAATGTGAAGAAAAACAACTTAAATTTTAAAATTTTATAAGGAAAACAGGGTAAACTAATAGTGCAATGTAGTCTCATCTCCTCTCTCTCCCTTCTCCCTCTCTCTCTTCATTGAATTGTTTCTAAAAATTGAGTATTGTAAGCCTGAGGCAGATTTCTTCTTTGTTTTCTCATGGATAATTTCCTTACAGCTGTGTACATTATATGCAAGTTGAATGTGGTGATCTATTCTTTTCATTCTCCTTATAAATTGCATCATTGTTTTTAAGTTTGAGGGTTTACACCATATTCCCTCAATGTATGTATCTGTGTGTGGATAGAAACTAAAACCTGAAAAATCTAGTTTATTTTTATTGATTACAAATGATCATATAACTTTGATATGTCAGTGACTAAACAGGACAACCTGATAAAAATACATAATTATAATTTGTTTAAGTGTGCATTTTCATAACCTGGTGTTACTAGATGAGAAAAAAAAAGCCATATAGAAGAAGGCTCTGTATTTTTAGAATAGTGCATGTATTTGATTTTTTTTCTAATTGAAAAGTAGGTTTGTCTTTCTTTGAAATATATTTTGTGTGACATATCATTTATTAATTAGCAAATTAAACTTGAGGTTTTTATTTTATTTTTACTTTTTTGCCTTTAACTATCTACCTCTCTTTTAACCTGCCTTTCCAGCTTTTTACTGGATCCTCCTCAGTTGCTGTTTAAGGCACAGATTCACATTCCAAACTGCTCTGCCAAGTGTTTAATACAGACACTCCAGCGCTCAGCAGCATCCTTGAGCTGTCACTATCTTTAGCTCTAACAATTGCAAGGCTTCTTTTTTAGAAAGGGTAATCACTCTTAAAAGATTCAGATAGCCAAATGATGCACATATGCAGAAATTATTAAAGGAGATGTTAATAATCTGTCCTTGAGCAAAAGTGGTAGGGGTAGGTCTGAAATTACAGTGTAATTAATCATGCTCTGAGATACCAAGCACTTTATACCTCACAATCTCTGGTGCTGGACAGTGGGCTCATACTTTATCGTGTAATTTATTAATCAGAGTAACCATGACTGATTTGAGTAAACCTATAGTCTAAAGAATCTGTTTTTCCTATTAATGCTCAATTCAGAGCTATAATGGACACCTTCCATATATCAGTGAGTTTTAACAGTCAAATAGTTATAATGACCAAGTTACTAAATCTGCCCATACCTGGGCATCACTGTATGCCAGTTCCCTCATTTTCTATAAGAAGCAATGGAGGTTGCTTTCATTTGTATTATATGCCCTTTACCAAGCAAGACCTCGTTCTGGAAAATGCCATTTCATGGTATAATATTTCAGTCTCCTAAGTTTAGAATATAGAATATAGTAAGCTTGTTGATAAGTTGTTCTGAGTGTTAGTTCAACAACAGCTAAAGTTTTTATATCACTCTGTATAAACCCTCCATGTAGGAGTCAATTAGAACAGTGCCTATGACTAAAAGCTAAAAATCTGCATCTTTATTTCTGTTGCAGTTTTGTAATCAACCAGGAACGAATGATGAAATCTTCCATAACTGAGATGCTTCACAGAGGGAGGATGCTGTGGATAATTCTTCTAAGCACAATTGCTCTGGGATGGACTACCCCGATTCCCCTGATAGAGGATTCAGAGGAAATAGATGAACCCTGTTTTGATCCATGCTACTGTGAAGTTAAAGAAAGCCTCTTTCACATACATTGTGACAGTAAAGGATTTACAAACATAAGTCAGATTACTGAGTTCTGGTCAAGGCCTTTTAAACTGTATTTGCAGAGAAATTCAATGAGAAAATTGTATACCAACAGTTTTCTTCATTTGAATAATGCTGTGTCCATTAACCTTGGAAACAATGCATTGCAGGACATTCAAACAGGCGCTTTCAATGGTCTTAAAATCTTAAAGAGGCTATATCTGCATGAGAACAAACTAGAAGTCTTTAGAAATGATACCTTCCTTGGATTGGAAAGCCTGGAATACCTTCAGGCAGATTACAATGTCATTAAACGTATTGAAAGTGGGGCATTTCGGAATCTAAGTAAATTGAGGGTTCTGATTTTAAATGATAATCTAATTCCTATGCTTCCAACCAATTTATTTAAAGCTGTCTCCTTAACCCATTTGGACCTACGTGGCAACAGGTTAAAGGTACTTTTTTACCGAGGAATGCTAGACCACATTGGCAGAAATCTGATGGAGCTCCAACTTGAAGAAAATCCCTGGAACTGTACATGTGAGATTGTGCAACTGAAGAGTTGGCTGGAGCGCATTCCTTATACTGCCCTGGTCGGAGACATCACCTGCGAAACCCCTTTCCATTTCCATGGAAAGGACCTGCGAGAAATCAGGAAGACTGAGCTCTGTCCATTATTGTCTGACTCAGAGGTAGAGGCTAGTTTGGGTGTTCCCCACTTGTCTTCAAGCAAGGAGAATGTGTGGCCAACGAAGCCTTCTTCAATGTTGTCTTCTGTCCACTTTACTGCTTCTTCTGTTGAATACAAGTCCTCAAATAAACAGCCTAAGCCCACCAAACAGCCCCGAACACCAAGGCCATCCTCCACATCCCAAGCTTTCTACCCTGGTCCAAACCAGCCTCCCATCGCTCCTTACCAGACCAGACCACCCATTCCCATTATATGCCCTACTGGGTGTACCTGTAATTTGCACATCAATGACCTTGGCCTGACTGTCAACTGCAAAGAACGAGGATTTAATAATATTTCTGAGCTTCTCCCAAGGCCGTTAAATGCCAAGAAACTGTACCTGAGTAGCAATTTGATTCAGAAAATATACCGCTCCGATTTTTGGAATTTCTCTTCCTTGGATCTTTTGCATTTGGGAAACAATCGTATCTCTTATGTCCAGGATGGCGCCTTCATCAACCTGCCCAACCTAAAGAGCCTCTTCCTCAATGGCAATGACATAGAGAAACTGACACCAGGTATGTTCCGAGGCCTACAGAGCTTGCACTACCTGTATTTCGAGTTCAATGTTATCCGGGAAATCCAGCCTGCAGCCTTTAGCCTCATGCCCAACTTGAAACTACTATTCCTCAACAACAACTTGCTGAGGACCTTGCCAACAGATGCCTTTGCTGGCACTTCCCTGGCCCGGCTCAACCTGAGGAAGAACTACTTCCTTTACCTTCCTGTGGCTGGTGTTCTCGAGCACTTGAATGCTATTGTACAAATAGACCTCAATGAAAATCCTTGGGACTGTACATGTGACCTGGTCCCCTTTAAACAGTGGATCGAAACTATTAGCTCAGTGAGTGTGGTTGGTGATGTGCTTTGCAGGAGCCCTGAGAACCTCACCCACCGCGATGTGCGCACCATTGAGATGGAAGTTCTTTGTCCAGAGATGCTGCATGTCTTACCCCCTGGAGTATCCCCTGCCCAGCCTGGAGATTCTCACATCGTTGGAGGGCCAACAAGTGTATCACCTTATGAGCTCTCTCCCTCTGGGGGCCCTGTTCCACTTTCTGTCCTGATTCTTAGCTTGCTAGTTCTGTTTTTTTCAGCAGTCTTTGTTGCCGCAGGTCTCTTTGCCTACGTTCTTCGACGCCGCCGAAAGAAGCTGCCCTTTAGAAGCAAGCGGCAGGAAGGTGTGGACCTTACAGGCATTCAGATGCAATGTCATCGACTTTTTGAGGATGGTGGAGGCGGTGGAGGTGGAAACGGTGGTGGGGTTCGAGCAACTCTTTCCTCTCCAGAGAAAGCCCCTCCTGTGGGGCATGTGTATGAATACATCCCGCACCCAGTTACCCAGATGTGTAATAACCCCATCTACAAGCCTCGCGAGGAGGAAGAGGTAGCTGTTTCATCCGTCCAGGAGGCAGGGAGTACAGAATGCGGGGGTCCTGGGATTCAACCGCCAGGAATAGGTGAGGTTCTCCTCGGAAGTGAGCAGTTTACTGAGACACCCAAAGAGAACCACAGCAATTACCGGACCTTGCTGGAAAAAGAAAAGGAGTGGACCCTGGCAGTGTCCAGCTCCCAGCTAAACACCATAGTGACGGTAAATCATCATCACCCTCACCACCCAGTTGGTGGGGTTTCAGGGGTAGTTGCGGGAACTGGGGGAGACTTGGCTGGGTTCCGCCACCATGAGAAGAATGGTGGGGTGGTGCTGTTTCCTCCTGGGGGCGGCTGCGTTGGTGGCAGTATGCTACTAGACCGGGAGAGGCCACAGCCAGCCCCCTGCACAGTGGGATTCGTAGACTGTCTCTATGGCACAGTGCCCAAATTAAAGGAACTGCACGTGCACCCTCCTGGCATGCAATACCCAGACTTACAGCAGGATGCCAGGCTCAAAGAAACCCTTCTCTTCTCGGCTGGAAAGGGCTTCACAGACCACCAAACCCAAAAAAGTGATTACCTCGAGTTAAGGGCCAAACTTCAAACCAAGCCGGATTACCTCGAAGTTCTGGAGAAAACAACATATAGGTTCTAACAGGAAAAAAAAAAGGAAATAAATTAGTGTTTTTTTTTTTTCCAAACAAAAAGGAAACACATCCTTCGCTCCCTTTACAGTTACCCCAATGACGACATTCTCACAAATTTCCCTGCCCTGAATACGACTGAAATCGCATGATAACTAGAAAATACAGATGTATGCTCTCCCCCTCAGATGAGATTTGGAGGACGGGCCATACTCAGATCATTAATCAATGAAGTGCCTTCGCAGACTTTTGCCAGCAAATGTTATCATTATTTTTTATACTGAAACTTAAGACTTTGACTGTGCCATGTGTAAGGTATATTGGGGATCATTGTATTGATCCTAATTAAGTAAAACCCAACGTGTCTTTTATTTTCAGTAACTTTTATTTTTATTTGTAGTTTTGTTTGATAGGGGGGGGAAACAAATTGACATTTGTGGCTTTCCTTCCTCTTCTCATCATGGCACAGATTCTGTACATGTATTAACAATGCAGTTTGCTGCATGCCTGGAAACTGCAAGATGGGGAGGGGGGAGGGTCTTGCTCGAATGTTCTCACCTACTCTTTTGTCTTTCATACATATACCTACGTGCAAATCACAAACCCCTACATAGAGTTAGGCCCCTAAACTTACAGTCTCTTCCTTCTGGTCCTGCTACACACACATACACAGTTCCCAATCTCATCGTTCGGGTTTGATTCATTCCTCTCCTTACCATATCACCACCATACTTCACCCTCAGTGTACAGCTCACAACATTTCTCCCACCACCTGGGAAAAGTAATATTCTAGGCTGGATCCTATTGATGTGGCAGCCTGGTGGTTTAACAGCCAGAGGTATACACCTAAGGATGAACACCCTCTTTGTGACACTTCATCCTGATGCCAAGATTTTTTGAGAACATCTGCACTTTCTTATATATATATATATATAATATTAAAAATCATAAAAAAGCAACTGGGTATATATCACTAACAGCTTTGTAGGAAGCACTTTTAATGTTTTCTCTCTCACACACAAAGATTCAAAAGAAATGTTCATATATTTATTCTGTAATTTCAGTGATTATAAATTGTAAAGGTAATGTTTAATCATTGTATAGTGATTATGCGTCTGGTATAGCTTTCCTAATAAAAAGATTTTGAAAAACATAATACATTATATATAGAGGATACAAAGCTTGACCTTAAACTCCAGCTATGCCATGCCTTTTGTGCTCCCATTAAAAAAAGAAAAAACAAAACAAAAAAAAAAACCTTCCTTTTACTTGTTATACAGAAAACTAGTTTATTAACAAGTTTGATGCACTGTGATGCTGATAAATCTTATAACCTACCACCCCATCCCATACCAGGATACAATTGGGACTTAAAAACAACTCTGATTATAGTTCATTTCTTTCTCTTGGATTATGAATTTCAAACTTAGTACACCTGTAATGCACTTTTTTTCCCTAGGTAGGATGTGACTGGGAAAAGTAAAGGAACCAGAGTCCTGAGAAGTAAGGAATTAGGAGGATTTATAATCAAGGATCCATGCTTCTTAAGACAGTGAATGACAAACATGAATAGAGAAGAAAATTGGCTGTTTATTTTTTAATGAACACTAAAATAACACACAAATCAAAATCTAAGGCCTTGAAGTAAATTTGACTGTCAAAATTTTGTTATTGATGAAAAACATCATAATTATATCTGGCTACTGCTTCTTTAACCACTTATTACAACTGACCTCAATCTTGCCTGATCTAAGAGGATGTTGAATGAGTTTTTATTTTTATTTGTCATTAAAATAACATTTCAAAATTAATCTGACAATAGTCCAAGTTACGATCCATTTCCACGTGAGCAAAACCAAAGAAAATCAGATTTTAAGGTGCCAGTATCTTGTTTGTCAAGGAAACTAATGCACAGAAACGCAATAGCTTAGAAGAAGGCACTTATCTCATTATGCCATTAGAGGGCAGCAGAGCTCCAGAGATCCACAGATCTTGTAGCTGCAAAATTGTGCAGTCAGGCTAGTTAGCGTTCTCTGCTAGTCTTTCATCAAACTGCCTTTAGTAGAAATTGTCATTATGTGTTGAATGTAATTCACCAGAAGTCACTAATGCCTTACATCACATTTATTTTCCATTAAAATTAAAGGAGACTATAAGCTTATAATGCTGTGTGACTGAAAAAGCTAAGGCGTTGTACTTAAAAAAGTCCACGGATTTCTCCAAGTACATATTCATGTATCTCTTGATTCATTATTTATGGGGGTAAACACAGGTATGAAAACTATTGAAGACACAAGTATATCAGTATAAAACCAATTTTCATGTCTACCTTACATTTGGCACATTGTATCTAAAACTAGTCCTTGGATATTTGAGCTAGGTTTTGAAATTTCTTAAGATGGTAAAAAAAAAAAAAAAAATCCATGGGCATGATTCACTTTATCTACATACAAGAGTAAAATTCAGCTTTTCCTTTTTCGAGAGGATCAAACCCACTCTTAAATAGGTGTCGTTTATTTAAGTTTTTTTATTTTTTCCTTTACTCACCCATAAGTCAACTTTTCATAGTTGTATTACTTCATTTTTTTTTTTTTCAAACCATCCCTCACTACAACACTTGAAGCGCTGTTTTGTTTGTTTGTTTGTTATTGTGGCACAGAAAGTCAGCACTAGCCTTTAAGTGTCTCAAAATATAATCAGTGGAATTCCTATAAACTAATGATTTATCATTCATACTAATCAAGTATTTTAGTGAATAGTAGAAAGTATATGCATAGTAAAGACTCCAAGTACAAAACTAGATACTTCTGATTGTAGCCATTATTTCCTTAATAACCGTGCACACATAACATGGCGTATTATACAAATCAGGTTAAAACACTATCCCAATGATCCTGGTGCTTTTGACATTTGAAGAACGAGTGTCCATAAATCATAACACATTACAATATACTTAATAAATATAATGTTTATTTTTATTTATTAAATACATAAAGTAAGACTGTCTTAAATATAGATAGAAATTTTACTCTTGAATGATGAATAAATTTATTTATTTAGTGAAAATAAATTTATATGAGAATGAAATTTTGTATTAAAACAGATAATTTTTTTTGTTTGTTTGCTGGTTTACATGGAGTTTTCTATCCCCTTAACTAGGCCACTTATTTCAGTTGAACATTAAAATTAGTTCAGTTATTCTTACTTTGCAATATATAATTTTTTTTCCTTAAAGTACTATGTTACTAAACTAAGTATCATGATGAGTATTTGCTTAAGTTTTTGCTCCAGTACAACATCTATTTTTTATGAAAGATCAGTAATTAACTTCATACTGATGGTAAATTCTACTGAAGCAAAGCCAGACCTGACAAATATTTCCTACTATCCATAACTATTTTTAAATATAATATAGTAACAATACTTGAAAATTTTCAAATGCATTATAATGTCACTTTTACTACTAGGTAAAACACAAAATTAAAAGTGAAATAATACTTTAATTCAATAATAATTAGCACATGATATGTATCACAAGTGTTATTTATGTAGATGCATTTATATTTTTATTTTAAAAGTTGAATCATTTCATCTAATTGCAAAATATTAAAATATATGTAAGGATAATGACTACATAGTTTAAGAATTCAGATAGGAAGAGGACAAGGAAAATTTATTGAACGAGTTTACAAAGTTGTATTTTTTTAAGAACTTTTTTATGAACATTATTTTAAAAGACTTGATGCCAGAAGACAATGGTAATTGTGTTTAGCCTCCCAAAAATGCAATGCAGAACTAACGGATTTTTCTTTCATCGTTGCAAAACATTATTGATTCATTTAGTGTTAATTAACTGTTCATACCGTCCTATCCTTTTGCATTTTGTTGTCTAAGCCAGTAAGTGTTGCGCTTTTGTAAAATGTTTATGACAAAAGGGAATGATAATGAAATGTGAGATATGTAACTATACAAAATTAAGAGAATATAGGAGGAAATTATAATAAAATAATACTTCATCTTCTTGTGATTTGAGCTAGTTTAATTTGAACATAACCATTTATAACTTATTTAGCTCAAAATCCTCAACTATGAAAATTCAGGTGAACAGAACATATGTAAAAACAATTAATTTTACCACATAAGTGTTCTGTTTATTATACTATGGGCCTTTTAAAAATAACAGGAGCAATAACACATATGTAATGGGGCAATTGTGTGTGTGTGTACCTACACACACACACACAGTATTGCTATATATGTATATACCACACACACATGCATAGAGCTCATATAGGCTGATTGCACTTGAATGTGAATCATACATTTTTTTTCTCCTAAGCATAAAAATTTTAGTCTTATTCATTGATTTTCTTTGCTCCTGTCTATTTACGTACAAGTGAAGATGGATGTAATTATGAGTCTTCACTTTAGAGATAAAATGATATTTTAATTAATATTTCTAAATTTAAAAGTTATTTTTATCTTGCAATATAGTTCATTTTTTGTTTGTTTTAATCATAGGGGATATATTGCAATCAGAGTGTGGTTTATTTAAGTCCTCACAGTAGACTAACATTTTTATATGCAAATTAAGTGAAATGAAAAACAAGTGCACTTTCTCCATTTTTATATTCTTAGAATAAATTTTATAGGTAAAAACAATGTGAGGACTAATATTAATTGGACAAGAGCTTGTAATTCACCTAGATATGTAGAAGCACTGAGATCTTAAAGTAAATCATAAGTGAAGTAAAGGACCTAATGAAGACATTTGTCACTATATTTTCTTTTAATATCAGCCATCAACTTAAATATATAATAGTAAGAGAAATAGTAAAAGTAGTTGGGTGATAAGAGATATCAAATTTTGTAAGCCTTTACAAAATCGGAATCGAAAGGCAAGTGTATGCAATGGATTGCTAGTTGTGAGCAGTTAATGCTTTCTCAGACTACTTTGGTTAGAACATTTGCTCCTGAAAATAATATACTCTTTGCTTTGAGAATATGTATGTTTGTTTTCTATCA